AAGAGGCAGACATAATGAATCTATCATTTAAAGTACGCAAATTCATTACTCCTCCTTTGTGAAAGCCTGACATCTCAGCTCATGTCACATATTTGCAAACTAAGTACGCATTCCACTAAAAATGACAAGAACAAAGAAACTAGAAAAACAGCTTAAGTTTATGTTTTCATGATAGAAAACAACTACTAAATGAGTACTTGTACTACAAGACTGCCAGCATCAGTTTTGACTTCCTAGACTTTCAAATGCCAGAGAGATTCTTTATCATCTCTTAAAGAATTATTCCGAACATAACATTGTAATTGGCTCTAGCAACACAACCACAAACAAAAGCATCTTAAATGGGTCCAGGGTGTGGTTAAAAGCAGGCAAATCCCACATGGCCAACTGCCCAATCCTGGAACAAGCTGAGTGTGTGTATGTGGCCAAAATCTTAAAAGGAGAGTGACGGAGGAGAAGGAATTTTGGTGTGACTGTCTCCAATGGGGCTTGGGGAATGCTGTCTCTTCCTCTCTCTAGCAAACACACACTCTAGCAAAAAAAAAAAAAAAAAAGGCAGAAAATGCCTAATTAACTTTCAATGATAACTGGGACCAGCAGTTAGCGTAATGGCTATGTCACTGGACTCCCATGTAGTTAACCACGGTTCAAGTCCCAGACCCGGCATGGCCATCCCCCCTGGGGGATGATTTCTCGCTTTCTGTCTCTCTGTCTCTCTCTGTCTGTCTGGCGAGCACACATGCCCTATAGCAAAAACCTCTCCAAAAAAAAAAAAAAACTTTCATTTTGTCCTAGATTTAAGGAAAATGAAAGTCCAATTAGAAACAAAAGAAATTATTCAATGTTATGCTCTTGTAATTAGAAATCAATTTAACAGACCAATTTCAAGTAATTTCACATAACAAAATCATTTTTCAAGAAAAATTACCAGTTTTCCCAACTCTTCTTTTTTCTCTTTTTAAGAGTTTTGGGTTTTTTAGGACTTTTTTAAAATTTATCCTAAAGTCACTGAAGCAAAAATCATAATAAAACATTCTGCTTTCCTTTACAATTCCCCAGTGGGAAAAATATATATATATTTTTAGAAAAACAATAATTTTGTGCATGGGATGAAACAATATAAATTCAAAACTTACAGCTATGGCTTAGCTCTATCACTCATCTCTTTAGAAAGTTTGTATGTGTTAGGCTGGAGGCCTGGGCAGCTTGGATGTAGGGGTTGGACACCACGCCCCAGTCAGCTGATGCAACCCAGATCTAGTCTGTCATCAGACCTGCGTTGCACTCAGATCTAACCCGGATGTAGCACACGCTACCCTACCCTACACTCTACCCTGCACTCGGCACCAGACTCTACATGGCACAGTACTCTGCTTTCCCCCTAAACCATTACCAAACATAGACTGTTTCTACCTCTGAGACATTCCCCATCCCTATAGCTTTAGAAAAATCACTAAACCCCTCCCTAGGGCATGACTTCTCTGGCTCTCTCTCTCTCTCCCTGTTGGACCAGCAAATTTCACCCAGGAGCGTCCCAATAAAGGCTCTACATTTCTATTTCTCCGGTGGTCAGCCCATTCCTTACAATATGAATATCCAGTCAAAATCAACCAACAAGAATATCTCCCTTGAAATGTTATTTCTACAACATTCCACAGGATGGCACACTTTCTTGGAATGTCCTCAAAAGGCTCTGTCAGTGAGGAAAAAAAAAAACAGAGTCCTTTCTTTCAAATGGAAAAGGGAAGATAGAGAAATTATTCAAACTTCATCTTCTTTCCATGTAGCTCATGGTCTCCTTCTCCTCCTCTGCCTCCTCAGAAGCAACCTCGCCCTCAAAAAACCTCCTCGGCCTCCACCACAACCCCTGAAGCCACCTTCACCCTTAGGCTTGGCCCAGTCCAAGGTAACTTTGTTCCCATCAATTTCACCATTTTCCATGGCCTCTTTGGCAGCTTTGACATCTTCCTCACTGTTGAAGTCTACAAAACCAAATCCTTTGGAGGATCCTGTTTCTTGGTCAGTAACTATCCTTCCACGAATAAAGCTGTCAAAAGACTCCTTTAGTGTCTCTTCAGTGGTATCCTCAGACAGACCTTGGACAAACAGAGTTTTGGAGGGCTGACTTCTTGTGTTAGATGATCCCTTGGATCCTTGCAACTCCAGCCTGATTGGTCTGCTTTCATTTTCTTTTTTATTTCACAATTTAAAGCTTCTTTAGCATCTTCAAATGAATCAAATTCTATAAATGCATACCCTTTAGATTTGCCATTTTAGTTCTGAGGCATGTTGATAAAAGTTGCCTTCTCAAATACTTCCTGAAGTGTTTCTTCAGTTGCACTGTAGGAGAGGCTGCTCAAAACCAGAGTCTTCAATTCACCACTCCAAGTGCTATCTTTCCATCTTTATAGTCTTGATTTTGACCTTTCTCTCCAGTGTAGTATAGGGAAATGAACCACCCACCAATCTCTGTTCCCTGCTTTTTTTTTTTTCCAAAAGTTTTATCTGTATCAGTTTCTGTCTTAAATTTAATATAAGCAATCCCTTTACTTTTTCATGGAATCTTCAAATACTTCTTTTAATTCATCCTGAGTGACTTTGTAAGGGAGATGTTTGGCCAAAAATGCTCTTGCATCTCCATCTTTCTTATTGTCTTTTCCTTTTGGTTTCTCTAGTTTAATTTCATTGCCAGAGAATTTTAAACCAGTGAGTTCCAAAGCTTTTTCTTGATCTCCAGCACATTCAAAGTTAACACAGGCAAACTTACTAAAGGTACCAATTCTGACATGCACAACAGCAAGATCATTTTTACCAAAACATCACTAATATCAGTTTTTAATTCAGGAATAGACTTATTATAGTTCAGGTTTCCAAGAAACAGATATAGTTGGTTCTGTGGCTTCCACTTTCTGTTTTCTTGGCCTCAGGAGCTGCTTACTGTTTGGTCATGTCCTTCGTTCGTTTTCCAGGAATTTCTTTGACAAGCTTTTCTTTCTCATCTTCCTCATCCTCATTATCTTCTTCATAATCCTCATCTTCATCATCCTCTTCATCTTCCTCTTCAGCCACAGTCTTGGCTTTCACAGGTGCAGCTTTTATAGGCGTTTTCTTTCCTTTGGCCAGTATGGTCTATGTAGTTTCTTCTTCAGACTCATCTTCCTCATCCTTATCTTCATTCTTATCCTCATCCTCATCTTCCTCTTTCTCCTCCTCTGAGGCTGGGGCAGCAGCTCCTACTTTCATCACTGCTGGTTCAAATTCATCCTCATCTCCATCCTCATCCTTATCATCTTCCTCACTGTCATCTTCCTCCTCACCACTATCTTCCTTCTTGGCATTCTTGCCATTCTTTGCTCCCTTTGCTAGAGTGGCAGCTCCCTTCTTACCAAGAGTTGCTACCAATGCTTTGCCTGGAGTGGCTCTCTTCTTGCCAGGTGTTGTGACTGCTTTGGATGGTGTAATTCTCTTCTTGGACAGTATTCCTGGGGTGACTGCTGCTTTCTTGGCAGTTGTGGCAACTGCAACCATTTTTGTTGGAGAAACTATCACCTTCTTGCTGAAGTCATGGCAGCCTTCTTAACTTTTTTCTTTTTTTTCTTTTTTGGAGAAGTTTTTGCTATAGGGCACATGCGCTCGCCAGACAGACAGAGACAGAGAGATAGAAAGCAAGAAATCACCAACCTGGGGGGATGGCCACGCTGCAATCCCTTCTCCCCCATTCTCCTCTCAGGATCTTGGGCACACATGCACACGGGCCTGGCGTGAGTTTAAGCCACCGGGTCCGGGACTTGAACCGCAGTCAACTACGTGGGAGTCCAGCGACATAGCCATTAAGCTAACTGCTGGTCCCGTTCTTGCCTTTTTTCTGAGGGATAATAACCTCTTCTCCATGGCTATCATCTTAATCTTCTGGCATTTCTTCATCCTGTTTTCTTCTACCTCCTTTGGAGGAGGAGCCATTTTTGGGGTGGGGCATGTCACCTTGATTTTTACCAGCCTTAGTGTGCTTCACCATGATGGCAGCTTATGATGGCAGTGTGTATGGTGGGCAGGTGGTACAGATGAGTTTTGAGGAACTCGAGTGATGTTGATGGTGGCTGTGAGCACTGAAGATCTTGCAGTGCTCAGTTGCCAAGAGATTTTTTTGCCTTAGGGCACATGCATTTTCACCAGAGAGAGAGAGAAACAGAGAGAGTGAGAGGGAAAGTGAGAAATCACCCCCGAGGGAGGATGGTCACACCACAATACCTTCTCCTCTATTCTTCTCCTAGGATTTTGGGAATACACACACACAGCATGAGTTTCAAGCCACTAGGTCTGAGACTCAAACTGTGGTTGGCCATATGGGTGTCCAGTGATGCAACCGCTACTCTTCAGTTTTGATTATAGCATTTCCTTGTTCTTAAATCTTTATATCTTTATTAGAAAATATAATGAGAATAGTAAATATTAAAATTTTATTCAAAAAATCACTTATGCATATTGATGGTAATGAAGAGGCTGGGGAGAGAACTCAATGTTTTGGAGATTTTTGTAAACACTTTAAGACAAATTTAACAAAAATCTGATTAAAGAAAATAGATTTCATCTCTGCTAACACAAATATATTTTCTATTCAAACATTCTCATACATCCACACTTGAAGCAAAAAAGATAGTGATGATCTACCATCTTGATCATTTATAATACTATGTGCCACAAACTGTTCTAAGTGCATTACATTTATATCAACCCTTTTCACAACTAGAACCCTGCTTTACATCTAGGAGGCCAAGGCACAAAGAAATTAAACAATTTACTCAATGTCACACAGTCAAATCTCAGCTCTGTCACTGACTTTGTGGCACAAAGTAAATATACATCACAGTCAAATCTCAGCTCTGTCACTGACTTTGTGGCACAAAGTAAATATACATCATATTGTGCACAATGTCAGATACACACTAGGTACTAAATAAGAGTGCAACTATTAAGGTAATACTCATCTCTTCTTTACTTACTCTGTGATAGTTCTGGATTTCCTTTCAGGTTCATCATCTTTGGAATTGAAGGGCCATATACATCCACATCTAACAAACCAATGGCTTTTGACTGTAAGAAAATAGAATTTACTTAAGATTATTCCCACTCTCCATCAAAGATAAAGCATACAGAAGAAGTAATCTAAGGAAAAGAAAATTTGCAAAATATTCCAAAATTATAACCTAAACTATCAAAGCAACACAGTAAAAGAGCATAAATTACTTAGGGTAAATAATTATTGACTTACTACTATCTTCTAGACTGACTAGAGAAATCTGCCCTTTATACTTCACATATTGCAGTTCAGTTTCCCACATAGTCTCAAGTAGGCTAAGACTTTTTTGCTATGAAATCATTTTCAGAACAAATTACATGCAAACTGTTAAAAAAAAATAAAAAACTTAAAATGGCAAACAAAAGTCCTGTGAGCTGAAGCATTAAGTTTTAGAAAGCCTTCTAACACACCAAAGAATACAAAATGAAAAAAGATCATGGAAACAAGGCCATAATATAGCAAGTGAGAAATTCTGATGCAGATCTGGCATAAATGAGATGGAAGTGCTAACAAGGATGTTGGCAGACATAAGATGAAGACAACCTCTTACATGCAAGTCACAGCTAAACACCCAAGGTCTTCTAAGGGATTCATAAACAACTAAAACTGTTTTCTTTGATAACCCTGCTGCTGAAGGGCAAAATATCCTGACTGGTCTCTGCTAGCTGCCAGTTAATCAACAGCTTAGCCAAGAAAAGGAAAACAAACTTTACTACTCTAAAAATATGTCTTTCTTTCTTGTTCTCCACCTCTTTTCTCTCTCTCTTGATAGATGAAATCAATCTCTTACTGGTTTTTGTCATTTGCAAGTAAACAGGATGATAACATTAACTATATGTCTTGGAGCAAGTCTCGTAATTTTCCTCCTGCTCTCCCCATTATCTTAGCAAGAAAAAATTTTAAATATCAAACAATCCCTCTTCTTCCATGTTATCTACCTACTTCCAGACACAAAATTATTTTGGGGGCAATGTTATCTGATTTTTATAAACATACAAAATAAACTCAACATTTATGTTCTTAACTTTACAGTGATGCAAATTACAGTTTTAAGAAAATCACTTAATATGTCTGTGTGACTCAGTATTCTTACAGAAAAAAATGGGATTGATATCTGCTCTATTAAAATTACAGCTTACTGCAAAATATATGAGAGGATAAAAAACACACTTTACCTTTTTAGTAGGATGATGGTATATAAAATTTAGGTTCAATATATTTAGGCATCAATTTTAAAATGGTAGAAACATTCAACAAGAAATGTTAAACTATTTAGCTCCTTTTTAAAACCACAGACAAAATAATTTAGTTAAATTAATATAGAATTAAATTTACTATGAATAACAACATTTTCAAATGAGAGGGTCTAAAACCTTTACAAACATTGCTAGTTGTTAATACTGTTAACTATGTGTGTCTGCTACGGGTCTAACTATCATCCTAGAATTTTACCTCTTCTCTGGATATTTTCTGTGATATCCATAAGAACTAAAAACTACCACAAAATAAAAATTAAAGGCCAGGCATGCACACTCTTGAATTTTTTTTTTTTTTTTTAAGTGGGCCCAGCGGGTCGTGTGGTGGTTAAGGCTACCACATGGCTGACCACAGTTTGAGTGCCAGATCTGGCTGCTTGCTTTTCCACCTTCCCTCTCACCTTCTCTGTTTCTTTCTGGTCAGATTTCAAAATAATAACTGATATCAGTTCTTCCACATTCTCTTATTCTCTTATCTATATCAATGTTGGTTTTACAATAACTTCATGAGGTTAGGTACCAATTTCAAAATGATCTTCTAAAAATGCTTATCAAGTAAAATAACTTAGTTTTTTAAGTTTATGTTTTCATGAAACAAGGATAACTAAGTGTTCTAACTAGTTAGTATAAGATTGCTGGGGTCAACTTGATCAATACTAGATCTTCAAGATTCCTTCAAATGTTAGGGAGAATATAACATCTATCCTGTCTTCTAGAAGAAGGCCAGACCTGTCTAAAGGTGAACTCTTGGCACCAAGGTCTAAGAAAAAGACGGAAAATCTGCCCTAACTTTTGCTGTGGTAGGAGTGGATTTTTACAAATATCTCGATGGGGCTAATATACCTTATCACATGAAAATAAAGGGGGAAAAGGAGATTATAAAATTTTTAGGTTCTTCTGCTTCCTAGAAAATGTAACTAAAAAAAAAAAAAAAAAAAAAATCTCCCCTTAAATGATCTTCTAAAAATGCTTATCAAGTAAAATAACTTAGTTTTTTAAGTTTATGTTTTCATGAAACAAGGATAACTAAGTGTTCTAACTAGTTAGTATAAGATTGCTGGGGTCAACTTGATCAATACTAGATCTTCAAGATTCCTTCAAATGTTAGGGAGAATATAACATCTATCCTGTCTTCTAGAAGAAGGCCAGACCTGTCTAAAGGTGAACTCTTGGCACCAAGGTCTAAGAAAAAGACGGAAAATCTGCCCTAACTTTTGCTGTGGTAGGAGTGGATTTTTACAAATATCTCGATGGGGCTAATATACCTTATCACATGAAAATAAAGGGGGAAAAGGAGATTATAAAATTTTTAGGTTCTTCTGCTTCCTAGAAAATGTAACAAAAAAAAAAAAAAAAAAAGAATCTCTCCTATTATTAGGTTCTCTGCATATACTCTAGAAATCTCAATTAGCCTCAATGATTGCATATATCAAAATGGACACAGAGGGAAGGAAAGTGTGGAGACTAGTAGAAAAAGACAGAGAGAAAAGAACACAGAGAGGGGTGAAGGAAGGGGAGGTGGGAGGAACAAAAGGATAGAGAAAGTGAATCAGCAATGTTATATTAAGACCCTGGATAAACGAGGCCTCTATAGTGAGCTCTACCAACAAATCAAAATCTCTAAAAACACCAACCCAAACCATCCAGACACCAAGACTTTCTCTGGTTATATCTCCCCATTGCTTAAATTCCTTCTAGGTACCAGGCATTCAGGTAGGCATTATATTCACCCTTATTCATGGCACTATTGCAAGGTGGTATTATCCCCTAACTTATCAATGAAAAAACTGGAAAATGACCATTTACGATTATATATTCTTTCATATAAAAAAGCTGGATAGGAAATTAAGCATAAAACACTTATATCATAAACTTCCACTAGAACTTAGATACTCAGAACTTAGAACACTTACTCAGATACTGAGCATACTTTTTCTTAAAAGGCCAAACAGTAAATAGGATTCTGTGGCAACTACTCAACACTACCACTGTAGCATCAAAACAGCTATAACCAGTATAGAAATGAACTGGCATGGCCATGTTCCAATAAATCTTTACAAAAAACAGTCAAGATTTGCTCCACAAGTCATAGTTTATCAACAATCAATTTAGAGAATAAACTTTGTGACCAAGTTATTCAATCACCAAAATGTAATTTTTGTAGGGCCAACCATATGCAGGACATAGTTATCTCTTTCAGTGTCAGGTGAGCTATCTCAGTAAAGATTTACTTCCTAATCCTTAATTAGCTAATTTTTAAAAAATAACAAAGAGTATACTTATCAGACAGTTTCACTGGAACTCAGTTCTTGTTTAGATTTTGTATATCATGATTTAAATCAGTGTCCAGAAACACCAAAACATATGCTAATTAAAGCACATCATACTTAGAATTGGCAGTTACCAGACTGGTTCAATTACCATTACTATAAAATTAAGCTTAGGGTCAGCACAGTGGCTTGATGGTTAAGGTGGATGGATCCCACAAGGTCAACTGCTTGGCTCAAAGTGCAGACTGGCAGCTTGAGGAAATGCAAAATGCATGTGTGCACATGACCCAAATAGTAACAGGATGCAGAGAGAAGGGGCTGTGGTATGATTATGCTCCATTGGGAGATGGCTTCTCCTTCTCTCTTTGCCCTTGTCTCTTTCTGGTGGGTACACACATTCTTTAGCAAATAAAAAAATAAAAAATAAAAAGCCTAAACAAAATTTCAAATCTTGAATATCTTAATATTCAAAGATCCCAAAGGAATTTCATTTGTTTTTCATAATTCTTCTTTTTTTCCTTTTTCTTTTTAGGTTTTGCCATAGAGTATGTGTGCTCACCAGAGAAAAAGACAGAGATAGACAAAGAGAGAGGGGAAGTGAGAAATCACTCTCCAGGGGGGATGGCCATGCTACAATCCCATCTCCTTCTTTCTTCTCCTCCTTGGAATTTGGTGCATGCATGCAAATGTGCTTGATGTGACTTTCAAGCCACGTCAGGTGTGAGACTTGCACCACAGTCAACCAAATGTGAATCCAGCACCTCAACCACTACGCCACCTGCTGGCCCTATTATTTTTAAATAGTCTATTTTAAGTATATAAATAGTCTTTCCATTTAAATTTACAGTTTTATACCATAGGAAAATAAATGAGCATGGTAGAAGGTTATAAATAAGTTTATGCAACTGCATATCTAACTAGCTAAGTCTTATGAATCCTTCCTACCTTATTCCTCCTATCATAATTACATTGAATCAAGAAAGTTTCAGTTAGTACTTTAATTTAGGAGAGTCTCAAAAGAATAAGCCCTATAAAAACCTTACCAAATGCACAACAGATGAAATAAAAAATTATTATTAGCAACAATTACTGTAAACTTACTACTGCAAAATGTGATTGTTATCTTTAATGTCACCATAAATTGAACCTAATACATTGGTATCAAATAATATACTCTTTTTCTGACTCTCCTACATTACTCAAAACCAAGCAGATGACATGAAACAAGAAAGATCAAACCCCAAAACACCATTTGGATTTTTAGATTACTTTCCTTATAATTATAACACTCTGTGAAAGCCATAAAAAGTGACAGAATTATTCAGAGCCATTATACTGCTCCATTACTACTGCCTGAAAGCTGCAATTTGAGAGCCTAGAAATCCTATTTTTTGTGTGTTGGATTTAAAAAGCACCAACAACAGTTTTGATACTGCTTTGTTCTTCCAGCAGAATTTATACTAAAGAAGACAATAAAGCTTCATGACA